TTAAAGACTGAAAACAAAATTGCTACAAGGTCTTTGCTTACATTCCGACTCCTAAAATGTATGTTTTTCGATATATAGACTCCGAAGAAATCCCAACTTGATTTTAAAATGTTTTATTAAATCTTGCATTCTTGTAAAGCTCTCCGTGACAGCAAGGTTAGCGCTATACCCAAATGATATATATATATATATATATATATATATATATATATCCAGGGACGATGATAACAGTGCAATTCCAACGTCCGTAACATTTAATTTAAAAGAGGGCTCTAAATAGTAGAGCAATATTATTCATTTTAGCTTATTACATCAGAAACATACAAAAAATCACTACCCAATAGCAGTCATGCTTCAATGCATACCAATGCATCTCATCAGATGATTTTAAATTACTGGCGAGTGAAAGATTAATTCAGATTTAAAAGCAAAAAAAATACACCTTTTTTCGAAAAAAAGAAAAGAAAGGGTTATAACATTTGTGGACTTTACTTTGATCAACCAATAAAATATGACCTACGTTAAATTTAAACTGAGCGAAGAAGCAAAAAATTAGAATTATTTTTTTATAAATGGGACATGACCCGTAGATTGGCAGATATAGTGCAACGCAGTACAACTAAAATATAAGAAAAAGCATTATTAAATTCCAAAGTAAATTGTAAGATGAAAAGTAAACTATGCTTACAATTTACTGTTAATCCACTTCTTTGATTTAATAATGAATTTCTGTCAAAAAAGTTTTTCATGTAAACACAGAAAACAGGGTTCATATAAAGATCTACATGTCCTTGTCGCTTTTAAAATTTTCAATTTCACCTAAGGAGTCTTCTCTTTTAAACTCCAAAAATATTTAGAAAATGATGTATTATTTCTGTAAGTAGTATTGGTATAGTAAAGATATGTTAATACCACCAGGTCTAAAAAGAATTATATATATATATATATATATATATATATATATATAATGGAAAAACATGAAAAAAGTTTTGTGACGCCTTTCATCCGTTAGAACTTCATTGGAATGTGTTTGTTGATGTTGTTGTCGTACACACGCTGGTAATTTCAAAATCTTTGAAAAACATTTATTTACATTCTTTTTCTTTCCATCATCTTTGTTATTAAATATCCCACAATGTGATAACAGAAAACATCCACCGCACCCAATTCCTTATAAAAACTTATTCAAAGATGTTGAAACTACCAGCGCCTCTCCTTCATCTGCAGCCACAACAACGTTAACAAACCCAGTCCAATGTAGTTCTAACGGATGAAACACGTAACAAAAGCGTTTTTCCATTTTGCCATACATGTTTTCGCTCAAAAAATGTTCTTTATATATGGCTATTCCATATAATTATTCTCTCTCTTATATATATATATATATATATATATATATATATATATATATATTCAAAAATTCTAGAAGAATCCACGACAGAATGCAGAAATCACTAGACGGCTGTTTCGTTCTATTTGGGGTCTCATCAACAGTGCGTATCCACTACCAAGATTCGAAGCCGGACCGTTTCGATACAACTCAAGCATCATACTAACTGTACCAACGGGCCTCAGTGACTATGAAGAAACTGAATAGACTCGATATACCGCCGAGACTCACAAATTCCGTGGTGATACTCATCCAAATATTCATAACACAATAGATTGTGCCCTAAGAGCCACATTTTTTTCTTTCTCCTGAACCAATCCGTTGCATAGAATTAGCTGGGTCAAGCTAATATATATATATATATATATATATATATATATATATATATATATATATATATAAACACAGTTGAATATTCACATTTAAAAATAGACGCTACATTTTTTAAAATTATTTCTTAGCTCTGTGTATTACGGCTATCGGCCTGCGTATTCGAGAAATATAAGGAATGAAAATGCATCCACCGGCCATCATTTCTTTTTATTTAATTCTCTCGCAGGCCGATTGACTTATTGCATACTGCTTAATAAATAATTTAAAAAAATGGATTATCTCTTTAAGAGAAGTTGCTATAATAACGTTTGAATTAATAAAAATTTCGGATTAAAAATAATAAATATAAAATATTAAACCATTTATTTCCAAACTAAATTGTGCAAAACGGTGAGGGAAAATATGTATATTTAGTATTAGTATACATTATAGGGGTTATTTCAATTCGAGCACAATTTTCTTATCACTCGTATTAACTATGTTATATATATATATATATATATATATATATATATATATATATATATATATATATATATAATTCTCACCACACTTCTTTATGGGCCAGAATCGTGGACGCCATACAGGACGTACATTAATCAACTTGAAGCTTTTCATAAACGTGCCTTCGCTCAATATGCGGTTATACACGGCAGGGCAAAATCTCTAACCCTGATCTTTTCATTAAATGTGGCGTCTGTGGTATTGAATCCTTTCTGACGCAATCACAGTTCAGATGGGCTGGTCATGTCATCAGAATGAGTGATGATTGGATGACTAAAATCCCCGTGTATAGCCAACTTTTTCATTGTAAGCGAAATGTACGCCATCCTTGGTTACGCTTCAAGGACAAACTTAAATACAATTTAAATGCTGCATCCCTATAGAGGAGTTTGAACTTTCTGTTGAAAACCGAGCAAACTGGAGAAATGCCTGCTACCGAGGAATAACTAACTTTGAAAAAAATCATCTCAACCCTCTGAGAGAATTAAGAAAGAACATTAAATCTTGGGCCAATATATCAGCCTGTCCCTCATGCGAACTGGTTTGCAAATCCCGTGCAAGAGTGATGTCTCATACGAAACATAAACATAAAACTGAACTGGAAGACACTCATACGTCGAACACGACGGAAGAGTCCATCATATATATATATATATGGACTTAAGTAAATGCACTGTTTTTAATTACACAGTATTAATTACATTTAGCGGTCTGAATGCCAGAGAAATGTTGGAGAAAAAATGCGTTTTCTGACAGGAATTGAACTTGTATTCTTACAGGAAAACTGCCAGATCGAACATTCACTCCGGCAAATGTAATTAATACTGTTTAATTAAAAATAGAGCATTTACTTAAATAAATTGTATCTATAAAAATAACGTAAATTCAAAAAATATATTAAATATATACAAGATATAATCATTCATACTCAATGATGTACAAGGGAAACAAAGATATCTCGTATATCCTTTTTTTACAGAGCAGTCAATTTCTCTTCATATGTGCAGCGTATATGTGTATGAGAAGAGGAGTACTAGAAGTGCTAAGAAGAGTGTTTAAAAAATCTGTAAGAAAACACAGACAACACAGTAAATATGAAATTAATTGCCATTGACTTTGATAACAAAAGGAGTCTTTCAGAAATATTGCCTCTATAAATGCCTAATTCAAGTCATAACAGTTAAAGATTTGGAAGTCGAGAAAAAGCGAATAATTAGTTTAATGATATTGGATGTGATTTCGAAAAAGAACCGGACGATTACAAAGTTACTGAAATTGATTTTGACAATAAGAATTTGATGACTCAAATTGGTTCAAACAAGGATTGATTTTACTGAAAATAATTTGCTAATTAGAACTAATTAAATAAAGAAAAATATGAATGCAACATCTTATGCATATTTTATTGAATAAAATATTTTTCTTTTATGCATTTGTACCTTCAGGACGTGGATGGTGATGAATTTCCAAAACTTTTCTATCCTTTGTAGCTAATAGCGATATTTGTCCAATTACTATCCCACCCACACTTTATTCGGCCAATCAGTCACACAAAATTCTTAGGTATGTTATTCAATTTTACTCTTGCCTTTTATCTGTTCTCTCAGTATCAAATTCTCAAAATCTTTTCCCCTCATGTATATCAGACATTTAAACTGTTTCTTTTTTATTCTAATTCTAAATGTCCCTTTTGTTACTTTTTATTTTATTAAAGTTCCTAATTACTCAGATGCTCTTTCCATTGTATTTTCAATATCATTCTGTAAAACCACTTCATCCACTTTTCTAGCATTCGCAGTCATAAAGGAGAAATACAGAGTGCGGCAGAAATACCTCTCACATATTGGTAAGACATCAGTAGCTAAATAAAGGCACCATTGTCATTAATATCATACCATTATGTGGGGGGGATATTTCTACCGCACCCTGTATTATACAGCAATTCGTGCACCCAGCGTCTAATTAATTATTTTCCATTTCATAATACTTTGTTTAACTTCTGGAAAGCATATTTCGCTACTCCATTGCATCTACGGATATATTATACAACATTTTCCGTCCTCTGCTATAACATTTCACAGACGGTAAAATGCCTGCACTTGCTTGATGCAATGCATAAAAATGATTGGACTAGCAATAGATTACCTTCCTTAATCGGGTGTCGAGTTTTGTTACAAACTCGACCGCAGCATGGCCAAATTAAATCGGATTGTCACCAAAAGTAAAGAGGCAATAAAATAAGCGACACTAAGATTGAGTAGAGATTGTAGTTGCATTGATGTGGCCTTCTCCAAATCTGACAAAAATAACATCAACTGTCTTGTGTTATCGTGACGTTTTCTCAGAGTGCCTTGGGTTAATAATTATGATGCTTCCGCACCCAAAATGCTGATGAAGGCTTTGACACACACACACATATATATATATATATATATATATATATATATATATATATATATATATATATATATATATATATGAGAGGGAGGAGAGAGAGAAAAAATGATATAAAATTTTATTTTCCAGCAATTGGCTTGACTATATATTAAAAACATTACAAAAATGAATTTCAAATTTCAGCGCCTCCTCCCTTTCTCGTGCATGTAACATCCACGTAAACATCTGTTTAGTGCAATGGATTCATAAAAGACGAAACGTGTCACAAATATATTTACACTTTGTTATCAATTTACATATATATATATATATATATATATATATATATATATATATATATATATATATATATATATAGAGAGAGAGACACACACACGCAGAGAAATAGAAAGAGAGACGCAGAGAGAGATAGAGATAGGGAGATAGAAGAAAAAAAAGAAAAGAGAGAAGAAAGAGAAAAAGAGACAAAAAGAGAAAAAAAAGAAAAAAGTGAATAAAAGAAAAAAACGAGTGACAAAAGAGAGAAAAAGACAGAGAGAAAAGCAAAAAGACAGAAAGATAGAAAGAGAAAGAGAAAAAAGAGAGAAAACGAGAGAGGGAAAAAGAGAAAAAAGAAAAAAAGAGACAAAGAATAAAGAAAGGAAGACAAAGAAAAAAGAAAGAGAAAGAAAAAAGATAGAAAGAAAAGAGAAGGAAAGAAAAAGTTAGAAAGAAAAAGAGAACGAGGAAGAAAGAAAGAAAGAAAGAAAGAAAGAAAGACAGACAAGGGTGAGCAAAATCTTATGAGAGAGAGACCAAGAAATTTATTTCGGTATACATAGATTTGAGTATATGCTTTCATGTTTGTTCATTCAGTAGAGAGAATTGTCAGAATAGATAGAATAATATAAAGCGAATTGTCTGCCAAATTTAACAATTAATTCATTCATAATTACATGAGTTAATCTTGATGTCTACGAGGGAAACGTCAAGAGGACACCATTTGATGACTTCACTTGTCATCTGTTGATCAACAAAATTTGAAAAAAATCAGAAGTAATTTGTTTAGGCGACAATAACATGCAGTAGCCTTGTGCAAACCGTCTGTGTCAGTCAATACACACACAGAGAAAAAGTTAACCGCTTCAGTTGTCAATATGTTTTTAAGAGTCTCAACTATAGACATTACATGACAACGCTTAACAGTGGCGGCCAACGGTCTGACTCTCTTGCCTCCAGCCAATGGTCTGTTTCCTCAATGCCATGTGTATACACGTGTATGTACGTGTGGCAACAGGTAGCAGCTGTCTGTAAACATCAGAAAGAATTCTTCAATGAACTTAATGCTCTAAGAGCAGCTGCCGTTTGCTACATACACGCCCGTTTCCAAAATAATCCCACCCTCCGCCACTTTCAAATGATTAACCACCTTTCATAGCAGACGACAATGCAAAACAAAGCAAAGAAAATGGCTAGGTGACACCGAAGATGGAACTGAATATATATTTCGTAACTTTCCTATCTTTAGAACGTTCATTTTTATTTTAATAGTTATAAAAGCAACCATTCTTCCGCGCCTATTTTTATTTGAAACTCTCAGATCTTGTTGACTAATCTTTGCTTAGTTTTGGCATAAGTTAAAAGAATATAACACAAAATGACACTCGAAATCATTAACTATGATAAACCAATATAATTTACTAACCATTACTCTCCGTCATTTCGTTCATTTTGTTCTTTGTTAGTTTTATTCTAATATTCAGTTTAATTTGTTTTAAAATCAAGAATTATTATTTTCTTGTTTGTTCTACACACAAGCAACACAAATGGAAGGAAGTCAACATTTAAGCATGAAAATCTAAATGTGAGCCATCTTTGAATAAAGTGTTCGGTCTGAAGTCCTAAGTTTAGCAAATACGATGATAGATAACTAAAGAGAAGCATTGAAACGTATAACAGAATAAATGAGCATGATGGTCCAATCATCAAAGCATATAATAATCCATGTCATTTCATAAGGATTTATGCTGATATATGTCATCCATCTTTCAACTTTTACATCTGTCTTTATCTTCTTCGCTCTACATATTGTTAGATGTTTTCTGTATCATTCTGAACCCTATGCAGTTTCACAACTCTTCAATTTAGCTACTTGAATCTTTTTCCGTTAGCGGGAGTGTAAGACGTCTTAAAATAAAGTGTGTCAGACCAAGCAAATATGACTACAAAAAGTGTGGTAGTATTACTTGATACTACGGTTCACATAGTAAAGAAGACGAAGAAAGTCTAATCTCATGAATAAAAACATTGTTCTTTCTTTCTTCTCCATCCTAACTCATACATTCAGGTGAATGCCGACAAGGAATAAATGTACTTCCCTATGCCATAACGACAGCGACGGAGAGACGCTTCTTCTTTAATTTCATACATGTTAACCTTGTGGCAGATCACATGACCACGAAGAGACGTCGCGGCGCCAAAATTAAAGACTCGCCAGTTGGAAGATAGCGGCCGAAAGAGACTCGTGTCAGCTCCTGCGCTTTATTTGAACAGTGGAACAGTAAAGGCAATAACCAAATGGAAATTGTGGATTTAACACTTTTTATTTTATCGATTAACTATGGATATATCTCAAACATAAACTTCAAAGACTACAAACATTTGGCTTAATAGACAATGGAAATTGAAATTATCTATGAATTTGAACATTCTGTTGCTACGAACTTATTCAGTCTTTTTATATGAACATATCAACATATTGACTCTGAGACACAGATAAGTACATTATGAAGTCTATTGACGTGATTGAAATGTTGATTTCAAGTGGGGCAGTAAATAAGGGGAGGAGTATCACTTGGAAATATTGTTTAATGTAAACAATAGTCAAGTATAGTTTGACCATAAATTAAGGACATGGTAAAAACTTGGTGATGCGTACGAGAGGTTGTTCTTTAAGATCACATCTTATATCTGCTTGGCAAAGGAACATCACAGTCAAATGCAAAGATTATGTCTCTAAAGATGAGTTGCGGCCGCTAATTGCACCAAGTCACTTGAACTGCATCTAAAAAAAAACAAACTGATCGCAAAATCAGCCTATATGAGGAGCGTTTTAACAAACACAACCAGCGGAGCGAGTACTCACGCACAACTCATAATTAACACTACTTCGTTTGCGAAACAGCTGTTGATTTCAAACTACAGGTATGTTAATAAAGAGAGACTATAGTAAACATTTTGCTTACTTATTCTAACTTTAATTGTAGATATAGCGAATACGCCTGTTGTTTTATAGATGATGGCGTTAACATTTTTGCTTCTGAGGGGACCTATGTAAAATTACATGTATCCTTAATTTAACTTTCTATTACATTATGGCTTTTATATTTTATGCCTTCAGCACCCAACAATTTCAACGTTCATTAATTAGTTTATTTTGGGACGCTTCTATTTGAAGACGTCCCTAATTGCAGACGCAGCTAATTTAAAATAAAAGATAAGTGGTAAAATAATAACCCAGCAAAGATTCAAGGAATTTAAGCCATAATCTGGAGCTCTACCCATTTTAAAGTTGACTGGCAAAAGTCTTCCACAATTCCAAAACAACTTATCTTGGACTGAGTTAAAAAGCATCTGAAATAAGAGTCAGAAATTAACACGTGCTCTTAATTCATTGCTTTGTTTTGTATATTTTTTAACTGGCTTTTTTTCTTTCCGATTACAAATGTCATTTATGTTAAACTATTCGAACAATGAATTTGAAATTTAGTCTATGATATCCAATCTAAGAATATTTTTAAGATATTATCTTTTTTCAATACAAGTACAAATTAAATGAATTCTAACACAAGAGATTATATTTCTTTTATTTAAACCGATCGGTTCGCTTAACATATCTGTTTACAAAAGAGAAACTTTCTGATAAGTGATAATAATTAACTCCAGGGAGAACTTACACTGAAAATGTGACTACTGACATTATCTCAAAATTTCATGAGGTGACTAAATCCACTATGTAGAACTTACAGAAACCATAGCATTAGCTAGTACGCTGAGTCCCTAGAATAGACGGGGACGTTACTCATCATATACAAATATATACCTGCTTTACAGAAAAAAAAAACGTAATAAAAGGAAGCACATGTTTATGTGCAGATATTCATCATTTATGAGAAGGAAAAAGTATGAAATGATTTGTATATTAAACAGAATACAACGTTTGTGGCACCAGGCCACAGCAAGAGGAAAAAAGGCTGGTCAGCTACACTAATTCTAGCTAGTTTAATTCCCAACCCATTCATTCTAGTAATTGACTGTTATCACAAGAACCCTATACTGCATTTTCACCTAATAATACACCCTTGATGGTAAATGATCCATATATATATATATATATATATATATATATATATATATTACAGTAAAAAAACAAAAATACCTCAACGTAGATATAGTCTATTTCAAGCCGTTCTGTATACGTCTATCATCAGTCTCTAAGTGTCTGTCTCGGAGCATTGTTTTAAATTTATTTTCACTATCAGTCCTCCTCACGTAGACACCTTGTTAATGAGAGTGGGTTTGGGTTAGCGATTGGTGGGGGTGTAAGCTATCTTATCCCAGGGGGAGCGGTCTGCGGTTGGAGTTTATTTATGGCCAGGACTTGTTTGTAGTTTAGTATCAGTTCCTACTATGTAGTGGCCAGGTATATATATATTGTGTGTGTGTGTGTACAAACGGAGAATAAGAATGTTGGCTGTATTCTGTCGATATAGAGAATCAAGTAGCTCACGTGATAATGGTGGAGGAAGACACACCATTAAGGCGGTGGAAAATGTAAAACACTGATAAAATCAAAATAAGAAGCATAGATAAAAAACAAAAAAAAAACTGGGAAGATGAGGTATCTTGAAAAGAATCAAAGCAAAAGATGAGGCTAGAAACGGCAGTCACTCATATTATCTATGTGACCAAAAGAGTCTACTTTAAACCAGGAATGGTATCCACTTGGAATCCGCCCCCTCCGTTGCGACATGAAGTGGCTAAAAATGTTAGCCCGATTCGCGTGAAACAAGCTAGAAACTAATACATAAGAAATAAAAATTGCCAAGCAGCATACTGATTGTAAAGTAATTCCCTATTTTATGATGGACTCACGCGTCTAACTAACGTTTTTACCAGACGGAAGAGTCCATCATACATAAAATAGGGGGTTAGTTTTCAATCACCCTGTATATACCGAACGACGAACATACATTTCTATTAATCAAGTGTGACTCAGTTAAGACATAAGGATATTACTCATTAGTAAGGTTCTACAACAACAGCTTGCAAATAATAACCCCAGGACCAAGCACGATACTAGTACCAAATACGCAATAATGTTATCCACATAGGAGGTTAAATGCAAGAGAGAATCTATTTCTCTAAAATCTGTCGAAGTAATAATTACCGATACTAATATCTTGGAAAATATTAGATGCCGAATTCAATTGATTTGATAATGAACAAAAAGGTAGAAACAGGGTCGGTTTGCCCGAGAGCCACAAAGATAGACAGAGATTTGGTTTGCACGACAGTCAAAAAGTTACACACAAGGCCTGTTTGCACGGGACTCAAAATGAAAGGGACAGAACTGGTATCTACGAGTCAAATTCATCGGCATAGCTTGGGTTTGCAAGCGATTAGACATGAATACAGTAAACAGGTAGCCCTTTTTCTCTGTACAGGGATGACATCCTCCTATTTATTGATCCCAAACTTTGAAAAGCGGCAATATAAATTAATTTCCTTCTCTTTCCTCATAAAATTGTTATTCTTATATTTTTCATTACGATATCCTAATTACCGTATACATTGACACCT